TGTAAGTTTCCAAATCAAGGAGAATTTCCTGGAATGACAGGTAAGTGCTTTGGGCAGCGTTTACCACAAGTTTGAACACGAATTTACTCAAAGGAAGATTCAAACAGAAATCATTACTTGATCAACATTTTCAAAACCAGATGATGATACCGTAACTGTATATTTTCAGTTGCATGTGTCAACCATACTTGCAGAGTTAAGTGTGAAGTGCTATACTTCCTTATAGAGGTCCTCAGAGGTATATCCTTTAAATACTCCCCCTTAAACATACACGTAGATTTACATGGGGTACCTGAAGAACGTTCAGTTGGTTTTGGCACTGGATTGGGGTGTGGACCTATATATGCCTTCATAGGACTCTATGAGCCTCCTGTTCCGACAGTGACCAAAATGTAATTAGAGTAATTGTGTCATGAACTAATTTTAGTTGGAAAAGATCTCTAGAAACAGCATGCTCAAAGCAGATCCAGCTTCAAAGTTACATCAGGTTGCCCAGGATGTAAGTTTCCAAATCAAGGAGAATTTGCCCAGGGCCTTGTTCAGCTGAGTTCTGAACTTATCCAGGGATGAAGAATCTATAACTTCTTTTGGCAACACATTCCAGGGTTAGTTCAACCTGTTCCAGTATTAGTCCTGGTTTGTAAGATCAGATCTGATCAGAAGATCAGGTTTGTAATCATGTAATCTGAGATACATGCAACTTGCAGTTGCATGGTTCAATGCAGAAGTGTCTGCATTCTGGTCACAAGAATCATAGCACTTTGTCATGTGATGGCTAAAGGATCACACAGCCCTCTAAGAAAGAAACCAGCAGAAGTGGAAAATCAGAACAGTCCCCTTTGCCCATGTTCCGCTCTTTGCTCATTTCTGAGGGATTACAAAAAAAGAGGAGGCAGGGATCTCCTCTGGAGAACTTATTGGTTCTGGTGAACTTTATCTGGATCAAGAGCTCCAGGTTGGAAACTTCTGGCATGACATGATAGTTTTGTCTTTCTTTTCTCAAATGCAGGTAAGATGTGCTAAAGAGGCTACATACAATTTTTTGCACAATCTGACTTTTGAAAATTTGGTCTATGCACTGGAAGTCAAGTAACCTCCAAGTTGAAAATATTTAGGATTTTGGCAGGTTACTTTGATCACTGTACTTCTTTCAAAATAGCACAGAACTTTTTTTTTTATGTTGTAGATGATCTTCAGTATTATTGGTTTCCATATCACAAGTCAGCTCAGGTACTGGAAGTAATATATGCATGACAATCAGTCCTGAGCCTGAGCTAATTAGCCCTGCTAATTTGTCAAGTGTAACCCAAATAATGCATCATAACACTAACATAGCCACTCTGTTTCACATAACCAAACTAGCACAAGGTTATCTGCTTTTAACAAGCACTACACTGCACCTTGTAGACAATACCCTTAGACAGAGTCCTCTTTAGGGTGTAGGATTCCTGACAGCGCAAAGGTGAGGTGAGCCTACAGTCAAAATGTGGAATAAAGGACAAGGGTAAACAGAAATGTCATTCGTTAAGCTTCTTAAAGCCCTAACTTGGTAGAAAATAAAATGTTTTAATTAAAATACTTATTTGGAAAGGCTAAGGAAATTAAAATGTTATTGCAAATGAACAATCTTGTAATGTATCATCCACTGCAAGATCTCACAAAAGCCAGAAGAGTTAATGTACCTACAAAAGCAGCAGAGATGACATAAAAAAATGCAAAATGGCTGCAGAAGAGTTATAAAATACCATGTTTTGGAATCTACCTTTTGCTGATAATTACCCATTCTCCATATTATACAATTAACAAAAGTATCTGTGATTTCTACAACAAAATAGCATATGCTATCAGACTGTACATGTGTGCATGTCAGTTCTCCACCTTTGCTTCCAAATGTTATTCAGTACAAGGTTCATTAAAAGAGTTGGCTGGGCAAAGGAGGTAGACTACAGTACCTCTGCTGGCTGAGAGAATGCAGCATCAGTTCAGTATTGATTAGGTATCAGAGAATTAGAGATAGACAAAGAGAGCATCAGAGAAAGAAGTAGCATGAATATTAATATCTCAACCACAAAAAAAAAAAAATTGTCTATGCCTTGAAGTTGGATACCCGTTCATTTAGTCCTTAGTCAAGGAAGAAACTGATTCTCAGGTGTCCAGTGAGGACTGAATGCCAAGTGAAGCTTTTCTTCTGGCTAGTCATTCATAACAACACTCCCATGTGGATTCTCCAGTGTCTAATAGGTGAGATTGTACTGCAACATTACTATGGTTGAATGCAAAAGCCAAAAGAAACCAGGTTTCACTAATTCCAATGCACATCATATACTGTTCTCCTGAACATACAAGTTTGCTGTGTGGATAACCATTTAAAGATCTGGAGAACTAGCAAAGAAGAAAACAATCCTCTTTATACAATTCTCTTCTGTGTTAATAAGAGAGTTTTTGCACCACCTCTGTGAACAACCGAAGATAAGCTGAGACTGTAATGTTAAAACACTTGATCATGTCACCAGATTTTGTTAGGATAGAATTAGGGATCCAAAAGAGGTCTGAGGGTTTTGCAATAGGTGATGATGTCTTACCTTCTGATGTGCTTATAGTTACAATAGGGCTCATAAGCTCAAGACCCTCACTCCCATCTGAATTCACGGCACGAGCGGCACACTGGACACGAGAACCCGCTTGAAAGTAAATGGAGTCAAGCGTAATCATCTTGGAGGAAGTGAAGAAGGTATCAAAGTCAACCTCCTTCATGGGGCTAGTCACACCATCAGGACCAGTGGGTGCACTCACTAGCCACCGGTACCGTGTCAGAGTATTATTGATGTTCTCACTGGCACATATTGAACCAGTCTTTTCAAAGTCTTCATATTTAGGATTGCAAGCCTGCAGAACAAGGCAGATGTGTTTAAAATTTATTTGCCTCATGGCAAAGGAATTTTAATTTATCAAGAGTCACAAAATTCAACAACATGGAACTGACAACCCCAGTAAATCTCTTAAGAAATTACCTTATTTTGACAGCGATGCTTTTAGCATTGCTATGGTAGATTTAAAAGGCAGGTCTAATTATGCTTACTGAAATAAAAAATACTATTTTAAAGTATGGTTTACCGGTGAAAATCTACCATAGTTATGAAGGCACAAACTACACTTCCACATGCTACTTTAACTTGAATTTCACCCTTTGATCTAATTCTGCAGGTATACTTTCCATTTCAAGATTTCTTTTGGTTTTGTATTTAGAGAACCATTCAAAACATGATCCATTCCTGTGCATAATGAACAGTGTGAGAAATAAACTAAAGATGCAGGTGGACCAAAACCTTCCTCAATGCATATGAATATTCACGCAAACCTTTCAGTTACAAAATTACAATGAAAACAAACAGGACTCATGTTTCAGTCTGTGACATTCATTGAAAACAATGGCTCATCTGTTGTCTCCAGTGATTTTAATGCTGTAAATTAAGGCAAGACAATGCAGGAAATAGTAAGGTCATGCAATCATAGATATTGTGTGAGTATTAAGCTGTTCTTAGTGATGAACACGTGAAACATCTTTCTATACTTTTTGTCCTCCCGAAAACTGATTTGCTATCCAAACAAATTAGGTTAGCTCTTAGGACAGTTCTACCCTGAACTCACATGTGACTTAAAACAATATGAATTGATACTTAGTGCCTAAAATCCAATTGCTCCTTTGAACAACATTCTTCTACTGATTTTGTTTCATCTTTCCACAGAGATACTCACTGTGATACAGATGACAGGATAGCCAGCTATGGGACTGCTTCTGTCTTTGGCTTTAGAAGTATCATCATATATCAAAAGGGATGCAACTTGAGGGACAGAGGGAAAGGTGACATCTGCCATGCTATTCATTTCTTCAATGTAAACAATGGCCTTGGCTGTCTGACAATAAAAAGGCAGAAAAGTTGTCTGACAACATTTAAATAAACAAGGGGATTCAAGCTGGACCTTGAATAAGTCCAGCCTTTGAATCATTGTCCCAGAACAAGTTCTGAAACCTCAGTTGGATGAGGTATTGAGGAAGGGTTGAGGCACTAGAAAGTATATTGCAGACTACAAAAGCAAGAGCTAAAATTATTTTTTTTCTTTTCAGAACACTGAAGATACCAGAACCTTTAAGCTCTTGTGTCCCAGCTTTCTTGAATCACGTCGGTATTCTGGTAAAACTCTAATGTGCACTGTATGCTTTAACGCCTAATGGAAATGGGGTGTTTGTCATCAGCAAAGGCTGTGTCTCTGCTGTCTGGCTACCTGGAGTCAGACTATATATGGTGTGATATTGGTAGAGTCATAGAATTGTCTAGTCATAGAACCGTCCCCCTTGGAAGGGACCTTTAAGATCATCGAGTGCAACCATTAACCTAGCACTGCCAAATTCACCACTAAACCACGTCCCTAATCATCACATCTACTCATCTTTGAAATCCCTCCAGGGATGGTGACTCCATCACTTCCCTGGGCAGCCTGTTCCAATGTGTGATAACCCTTTCTGTGAAGAATTTTTTCCTAATATCCAATCTAAACCTCCCCTGGCGCAACTTGAGGCCATTTCCTCTTGTCCTAGCGCCTGTTACCTGAGAGAAGAGACTGACCCCCACCTCACTACAATCTCCTTTCAGGTAGTTGTAGAGAATGATAAGGTCTCCCCTCAGCCTACTTTTCTCCAGACTAAGCAATCCCTGTTCCCTGATGAAGGGGCCAAAGAGTTTGAAGAATATTTTATGCAGAATCAGAAGGAATTCACAGAATTCACAGAATTGTTAGGGTTGGAAGGGACCTCTGGAGATCATCTAGTCCAACCCTCCTGCCAGAGCAGGGTCACCTACAGCACGTTACACAGGACAGCGTCCAGGCGGGTTTTGAATGTCTCCAGAGTGGGAGACTCCACCACCTCTCTGGGCAGCCTGTTCCAGTGCTCCACTACCCTCAAAGTAAAGAAGTTCCTTCTCATGTTAAGATGGAACTTCCTATGTTCAAGTTTATGCCCATTACCCCTCGTCCTATCACTGGGCGAAGGACATACTGTTTATGTTAGAAGTATGTATGACATAATGCTAAATAATAAGAATCTGTGGCCTGCGGCTACTGAAATTCACACAAGAATAATATCAGCACAGTTTTGACAGCAGAAGTTATAGTTCACTTTTGCTCTTTATACAGCATAGAGGTTATATTGTAGTGCCAGCCAGTGTTTCCAAGAGGACATCAGTTTTTAGAACTGATTCTATGAAAAGAATGTGTCTGGAATGATATCTTGAAGATTTCGGTTCTACATAAGCTCTCATTGTCTTTATGACCTCATGCTGTGGGCAAGTGGCCGCATGGTTCTAGCTGCTGTTTGGGCTTAAACCATGACACCACATGAACCTTATTGCCTTGGCAACAAACTGTTTTGGGTGGGTGGTACTGTGTCAGATGGGATGATCCTCTTTGTCCAAGATAGTGCGTATAAAGCTTAAAAGAAGAGTAAAGCTATGAGTCAGAAAGCAAGAAGGTCTGTTTACCAGATTTTGTTGTTGAGGACTTTGCACAGTTTGTTACCTGTATTTCTGCGACCATGTTCTCATCGGGCTTCAGGTGAACAGTGAAGGCTTCTCTCATCTCCCTTACTCCATCAAACAGAACTTCAATTTCCACAAAATGCTGTGTTTCACCCTCCTTAAACTCAATTTCTAAAAACATAAGACACTTAAAAATAAATCTGCTGTTCACAACAAGCTGTAATTCTAGGTGCAGCCATGAAAGATGGCAGTTAATATTGAGTTTTCCAATCACAGATGTTCATATTTTTAGTTTAACCTATCTGATGCTAAAAATAGTAATAATGAATAGCAGTGGACACATGCAGAAATTGCTGAAAACGAGGCATTATCATCATCAAAAGACATTTGCAAGGACCAGGATTTAGTCTAATAGAACTTAATATTTTGAAAATGAGCTGGGACTAATTATTACATAAATGTTGGTAACATGTGAATGACTAAAAGACTGAGGAATTCTAAATAAAAAGTATTGTCAGTGATTACACAAAAAAATGCATTTTAATACAATGGTGTATACCAAAAATGAGGCACAAAGCCAGAGTTATGCAAAATGGTATTGTATTTTGAAAAGCACTGCCTCTGAAAAAGCTTCTGAGGTGATTGTCAGAAGTTCAATCTCAGCTGACAGAGTCAGAAGAGTACTGGGATTCTTGGATGTGTTAACTATTAAAGGATGCAGAGGTACAGAAACTATTTAACATTTGTGTATGGAATGGGTGAGAGTGATACTAAAATGGTGCATTTTTACTGTCTTCCTTTTTTAAAGGATGTCAAATTAACTGAAGATAGCACAGAAATGACCAACAGAAACTGAGGACTAGAACTAAAAAAACCCAACAAAATTGCAGAAAAGGATGTTCTGATTAGTATATTGAAACACCATTGTAGACAAAAAAATACCAGGTGCTAAAGAGCTCTGCGCTCTAAAGGGACAGGCACAATAAGCAGTAGCGCATGAGAGCTGAAGTATATATGGAAAATAAGGCACAGATTATAAGAAGCGATAGGGACTGATCAGTGAAGCAAAACACTGAGAAATGCTCATCCTCTCCAGTGCCTTCAAACCAAGACTGGATGCCCTTTATGAAGGATATACTTTCTCCAGCCAAAGGTTATTTGGCTCAATACAGAAATAACTGGGGGAAACTGGGAGAATTGTACAATCCACAGTGAGTCTGATTAAGTGTTCTAATGTTCCTTCCAGCCTTAGTGTTATTAAGCCATGAAAATACTCTTTGTGGTAACAACCACGCTGTGTCAGAGCTAGGAATTTTACTGAATTCCAGTTTGCCACACTTCCTTCAGATAACCCAGTTAAGGATGTGGGTTTGTGCCCATGGTTGAATGATCAGGCTCCCTAAAACCACAGATATTCTGAAACCTGTGGGGAAATCCTGCAGATAACAGACCTGTCTCAAAGGCTTCTGGGCAGAGGCCCAGAACCTCTCCTCTTGTTCTGCAGTAGTGTGTTTCCCTTGAAAACTCACGCACTGTTGCTGCAAAGCAGGCAGAGGGTAAGCAAGGCAATGCATATAGGGAATGACTATATGATAAGTATTAACTGAGACTAAAAATTCCTGTGGTTTTCGGGAGGAAAGAGCAAAACTCTAAAATGCAGGAGGCAAAGTGACTGGAATTTGCAAGCTCTGGGCTGATAATTTTCTTATTGCTAACAATTTTTCTCTTCAAATGTCACTAGTGGCAAATGCCTCTTCTTCTATGGAATTTGGAGATGGCCAAATGTTGTTGCTGGATGTTCAAAAATAAGTCCTATCTTTCAGCTGGACTGGAAACCAAAATAGTTATTCAAAAACTGTGACAACACTCCAAAACTGTGAAAAGACTCCAGCAATGAATGATAAATCTTAAAACACAGATTAGTATCATGTATTATCATATACTTCAGGAGAAAAAAAAAATCATGGTGCTACAAACTCTATCAGTCATTCACAAAACCATGTGGGTGGGCTGTTAATGGAAAGAAGTTTACCAGCCAAGAAATTTCTCATTCTGTTGCACAACTTCTCTCCTCATTCATTTCTAGTGAGGAACAGTGGGCAGTGAATTGCAGAGATATATAGAGAAAGCTTAATTATTATGAAAGTAAAAAAATAAACAGAAATAAACATTAATTCCTACATAGAACAAAAGCTTAATGAATTCCTTGAGAAACAACTACACAATCATATCCTATGTGTAGATGCCTCTGCACAGTAATGGTATTACACTTTGCAAATGTTACTAAGATGACACTCACACATTTCTTTCACAGTTACTTGAGCTACAGATGTTTTCAAAGGAGTCACAATTCTTTTGTAAATATCTTCACTGATATCTAGTATTCCAAGAGCAATTTGGCAGTTGCATATACCACATGGGATCATGTCTTTACTGAATCTGAGTAGCAAAACGCATTAATGTATGTGGTTGAAAAGTATTATATTCATAAAGTTATTTCATTTTTCCAACATTATCATATGTCACAGTCATGAATAAAAAACCATACTAGGATATGATAATTATCTGAATGGTCCTACCTTCTGATATAGGGTGATAGTCTTCTCCAGAAGTCGCAGATCCGTCCTTTGTATGAACTCTCACGACAGAAACCTTGGAAGTGTCTCCCAGACGAAGCACTGGGATTTTTACAACTGCTACTTGCCTTATGTCCTTTGGTTCACTCACACTAAATTTGGTCTCACCAAACTTAATAATAGCCTCTGTAATTAGAAGAAAAATGTTTTTACAGTGCAGAAATGGGCTTCCAAAGGCCAATAAGAACAAAGTAATTTCTTACTGTCTGCATCATCCCGAATCTTTATCAGGGTCTCATTTTGTTCGCCAATAGAGGCACCAAAGGAAGAATCACTTCTTGGAGTGCCAAGAACCAGACGTAGTTCTTCCTCTTCTTCATGGAAAGTATCATCCATAAGGACCAGTGTGCAAGGCTTCTCAGTTTCACCTGCAATCATTCTGAAGGTAATACCATGCAGACCTTAGGTGTTCTTTGCTCTATTACAGCACTTCTCCTAGCTCACAGAACCATGTTGCTTCTGCCGGCCAAGGCATCCACCTTGACGCGATATAGGTTAATAAGTAACGACAATAGTGAAAGCAGAATTAGTAACCATTACCCTTCTTTGGAAGCTCACCACTTAAGTGAAATTTGCCATTTTGGGACTTCTCAAAGACAAGTTTCTGTTTGGTATTGCTACTTCACATGTACTGTTAGTTTTGTTTTATCTTAGAATAAAATACCCGTTTTCAGTGACCTCCCCCACAGCATGTATTTTAGAAATAAATACTTGCATGAGGAAGCAGAGTAATGGAAACTTTCACCAATACTAATGGTAATTTTGTCTTGGAGTTTTTTATTTCAAAAATTTCAGGCCTTTCTGAGACACTATCCAACTGTGTGGACCTTCACTTATGTTTTTCCATTTGATTTCAATGTCTTAAACTCCCACTGGTTCCAAAAGAAAATTAATATTGCCTTAAAAATGCTTTGGAGTTGCAAAATACTCAGTTTGAGCACTCACAAATCAACATGCCTAGACTTACTAGATGTTCTGAGACTCTGGGAAAAAGACCTTGTCTTTGGCCTTCTACAAAAGCAGCAAGAGTTATGAGCAGTGTGCAAAGTGTCTTGCTCCCAGTGTCAGACTCAGTGGGCTCATCATCACGAGAATGACTCCTACATCTCTTACAAAAGGAACAGCGTGGGATATGAGAGAGATGAGGTCAATTTACAGTATTTTTCAATTATTATGTATAGAAAAATTATCAAGGCTCAACATAAAGAACCAGATCAGGATGCTGACCGTGTTCATTTTCTGAGGTGGGTTTTTTTCCCTGTGGAAAATAAATTATCCATTGGGAGGAAAAAAAAAATCAAGATATTCATCCTGCTCATTGTTACACTGGAAAAGTGAAAACTTTACTGAAACTGCTGTACCTTAAACAGGCCTAAGAAAATTATGATATGATCCAAGTTGACCTCTTTGTTACTTGTCTTCATGGAGAAATGGTAGAGTGACGCTCAAAAAAACCCTGAAAGTAACTTCCTAACAGGCTGGGATCCATTAATCCTAACAAGCTGGATTCTCTTGCCTGGTTGCACAGAAGCAATGGCAAAGGCATGGGGTACATGACAGCACTAAAAGCTGAGGCCAGCTCTAAATAAAGATATACCGAATAACTCACTTTACAAGAGAAATGTGATGTGTCCATAGAAGTATGAAGCTTGTCATTTCTGCGATAAGGGCATACCAAGGATTTCATATTGATGACAGAACTTGTTTAGGGGTTGTAAAAAATATTATGTGTGTGTAAACTTAAAAGACTAAAAGATTAAACTGTCTTCTGCACAAATAGAGGGAATCAGGCAGTAACGCCCGATTTATTTGTGTTTCATCTCTGATACATTAAGTACATGATACTGGTGAACTACCTTAGGAAAGCCTCCCTGGGAAAAAAATTTGAACAGAAATTAGAGTTATATACCTGTTGAAAGATCTATTACTCATTTCAGTGCAAGGCAAATGTACTTATCAGAAATCTGCCTAACAAAGAGCAGAGCTTCTGAAGTTCCCCTTCTGACAGCAGGTCCATGCTTCTGTTACTGCTTTACTCCAAACCTGCTTTTGCTACCATGGATCAAAGAGAATCTGGCACACAGGCTGGACCCATGTGAAGATATGTCCCTTTAATTGCTCTTGGCAACTGGGCAACAGGCAGCCCAGAAAGGCTGTGGAGTCTCCTTCTCTGGAGATATTCAAAACCCACTTGGAAGCATTCCTGTGCAACCTGGTCTACGCGAACCTGCTTTGGCAGGGGGGTTGGACTAGATGATCTCCAAAGGTCCATTCCAACCCCTACCATGCTGTGATTCTGTGACTGATTATTCCTCTACATTAGAAGTGAAGGAAAAAAGAGATATCATCAACATGCACTCTACCCACTGCGTATGAAAAAAAAAAAAAGGTTTTCCACAGCAGTCTTTTTGGCACTACTTTATGAGAAGACACAATTAAAACAAAACAACCAAAGCAAAGCAAAACAAGGCAAAACAAAACAAAACACAACACAACACAGTAGACTAAAGGCTTCTAAATCAAGAGCAAGAGCTTACCAGGAAGGAATGTGATGATGGAACTGTCAGTATTAGGACGTTCTTCAAAGTCCATCATTACCTGAGCTGAACCTTGCCTTGTATAGCATCTCACAGTGGATGTGTATCGGATATCCCCACTCCTGTATATCATGGCAGAAATCTGTCCTTCATTTTCATTGCCTACATATACAGATTCTTTAAACTGCATCTTAGGCACTGGGCAGAAAAACATAAAAAGTATGTGTAAAGTATAAATGCAAAAGTTACCGTATCTTCCCTCCACTATTTCAAATTTAGTGATGTTACATTGCACCAGATACATAACATAAGCAGCTAGGCAGCAAATGATTTAACACATTGACTCTAGCTAAAACAAACGTGATTAAAAAGGAGAAGCATTGTCTGTGTATTGCAGTCATCCACAGAATCATAGAATCAGAATGGTTTAGGTTGGAAAGGACCTTGAAGATCATCGACTTCCACCCCCCCTGCCATGGGCAGGGACACCTCCCACTAGACCAGGTTGCCCAAGGCCACCTCCAGCCTGGCCTTGAACACCTCCAGGGATGAGGCCTCAACAACCTCTCTGAGCAACCTGTTCCAGTGCTTTACCGCCCTTAAAGTGAAAAACTTCTTCCTAATGTTTAATCTAAACCTGCCCTTTACCAGTTTAAAGCCATTCCCCCTCATCCTATTGCTATATGCCCTAGTAAAAAGTCCTTCCCCAGCTCTCCTGTAGGCCCCCTTTAGGTACTGGAAGGCCGCAATAACGTCTCCCCAGAGCCTTCTCTTCTCCAGGCTGAACAACCCCAATTCTTTCAGCCTCTCCTCATAGGAGAGGTGCTCCAGACCTTGGATCATCCTCGTGGCCCTTCTCTGGACATGCTCCAGCAGGTCCATGTCTTTCTTATGTTGAGGACTCCAGAGCTGGATGCAGTACTCCAGGTGGGGTCTCACGAGGGTGGAGTAGAGGGGCAGAATCATCTCCTTTGACCTGCTGGCCACGCGTCTGTTGATGCAGCCCAGGATATGGTTGGCTTTCTGGGCTGCGATCGCACATTGCTGGCTCATGTTGAGCTTCTGGTCAATCAGTACGAGGTCCTTCTCCTCGGGGCTCCTCTCTAGCCATTCCCCGCGGAGCCTGTATTTGTGGTTGGGGTTGCCCCGACCCTGATGTAGGACCTTGCACTTGGCCTTGTTGAACTGCATGAGGTTGGCATGGGCCCACCTCTCCAGCCTGTCCAGGTCCCTCTGGATGGCACCCCTCCCCTCCAGTGTATCTACCTCACCAAACAGCTTGGTATCATCGGCGAACTTGCCGAGGGTGCACTCGACCCCACATTCATGTCCATGACAAAAATGTTGAACAGTACAGGTCCCAGTACCAACCCCTGAGGAACGCCACTCGTCACTTCTCTCCACTTGGACATCGAGCCGTTGACCACAACTCTTTGTGTGCCACCATACAGACAGCTCTTTATCCACCAAGTGGTCCATTTGTCGAATCCATGTCTCTTCAATTTAGAGACCAGGATATCATGTGGGAAGGTGTCAAACACTTTGCACAAGTCCAAGTAGATTGCATCAGTTGATCTTCCCTTGTCCACTGTAACCCCTTCATAGAAGGCCACCAGATTTGTCAGGCATGACTTGCCCTTGGTGGAGCCAAGCTGGCTGTCACCAATCACCTCCTTGTTTTCTATGTGCCTCAGCAGAGTTTCCAGGAGGATCTGCTCCATGATCTTGCTGGGTACAGAGGTGAGGCTGACTGGCCTGTAGTTCCCTGGGTTTTTCTTCTTTCCCTTTTTGAAAATAGGGGTTATGTTTCCCCTCTTCCAGTCAGCAGAACCTCACCAGACTTCCACGACTTCTCAAATATGATGGCTAGTGGCTTAGTGACTTCATCTGCCAGTTCCCTCAGGACTCACAGACGTATCTCATCAGGTCCCATGGACTTGTGCACCTTCAGGTTCCTCATGTGGTCTCGCACTTGATCTTCACCTACAGTGGGCGGTTCTCCATTTTCCCAATCCTCGCCTTT